GGAGCTAGGAAAGTGGACGGGGGTGGGGGCCGAGGACGGGATTAATTTTGAGATGGGTTGGCGACGAGATAAGCAGGCTGTGATTGAAGGAGTGAGGAGCATGAGAAGGTAGAGAAATGTTGGTGATACTAGAGTGTCGGGGGTTGCGTTAGTGTGGGGTTGGCTGTCTGGTCGGGTGGGGACATAGGGATGGCGGTGGTCTTGGTTTCAATGGTAAGTAGGAAATGTTTGTTAGTGGGGTAAGGGTATAACTGAAGAAGAAGAGCGGGTTATTCTTGGTTGTGTGACTCGGTACTACCTGGATGAAAGGTTGACGACGGGATAGGATGGATGACTTTGGAAGCGTGAGTGTAGTGGGTAGAAGCTAATGTAATCTGGCGAAAACTATCGAGGAAGGTTGGGTAGATTAGGCGAGCTTTTGATGTTGAGTGGAGAATATAGGATGCTGAGATTGAAGTTGCATATTACGTGGTCTTTAAAGGACTGCGCTATACAACGCTATGGAATAATGATAGGAGAATGATGTAGGTGGTTACTTTGGGGTGGGTAGAGATCTGAGGTGGAATGAGGATATCGAGTGGGTTGAGGTTAAGTTTATTTTATTAGGTGTTTTAAAGTCTATCGCGAAACACTAGAGAAATAAAGAACTTCCATTAACTTATGTAGTATGCATTACGTGCTTTGACAGATAAGGCACGATACATAAACATTATGTCTGTGGAGGGAGAGGAAATAAATGAGAGGAAAAGACCCACAGAGATTAATAGGGAGAGAGAAGTAGAATAAAGCGACTTGTGTCAAAGATTTGAGAGCAAATATCCAGCCCGACATAGGACACAAGGGCTCTACTCGCGTTAGACGTGAACTCCTTAGGACCTAGGTGTGAGTGGGCTGAATAATATGCGTAGCAGATGTGCGTGGACTGTGGATTATCGATGTGGCAATATCGGGAGCGGACTCGCCAGGTTGCAAGACCTTACTGGCAGCTCGTTGATAACCATGAGTTAAGCATGTACGGTGGACAAAGGCACTGGCATTTGTGTAAGTCCGTGATTTAGTGACAGTGGCACCATCCCCGCAGACCCTCGGTGGATCAGGTCGTGACCAGGACTGCCACAACACCTGCTTCACCCTCCCAAGTCCCCCTTCAGGTAAGCTCTAGGGGGACGCACGCCCTTCTTCCCTTTAAACTCCTTTGTGAATTATATAACTAATGAGCATACATTTACCTTTGCCTACCTGTGCTGACTGTTTCCTTTGGCTGACGTGTACCATGCGTGCGCAGGTGCCCCGTCGGAGACCAGCTGCTCCGGTAGCAGGGCGATCCACAGGTGGCTGACACCGGCGTCAGCAGCAACGACGTAGCGGAGGCATCCCGCTCGCACGCACGCACGCACGCGATTGTGCCTCGCGACCATGGACGCGGTGAGCAAGGACAGCGGCTTCGCGGCGCTCGACCACGATGACAACGAGGACGTGGTGGTCAAGAGCGCCATCAACGGCGAGGCCCTGCCGCCGATGAAGGCCGACGCGCCGCCAGCGGCAGCCGCCAAGCCCGTAAATGGCGCCGCAGGCGTGTCGGCGCCGTCCCCCAAGCCGGAGCAGAATGGCAAGCAGGTAGACGGCCCGGCGGGCAAGCAGGGCGCGAGTGAGCCAGCCAAAGCAGGTGAGGTCACGGGCCCCGCGCCAGCAGGCGGAGGAGCAGGCGCCGCCAACGGGGCGCACGAGGGCCAGGCACAGGACGCCAAGCAGGAGACGAAGCCGGACGAGAAGGACAAGCCGCAGGAGAAGAAGCCCGAGGCAGGGAAGCCCGGCGAGGAGAAGGAAGCCAAGCCAGAGTCCAAGCCAGGCGAGAAGCCGGAGTCAGCGAAGAAGGAAGAGACCAAGGAAGTAAAGGCGGAAGCGAAACCAGAAGAAACGAAAAAGGAACAGGTAAGCAAACCAGAAGAAGTAAAGAAACCGGAAGAAGCCAAGAAACCAGAAGAAACTAAGAAACCAGAGGAAGAAGAGGCCCAAGAAACCAGAAGAAATATCAAGAAAGAAGAAACCAAGAAAGCCAGAGGAAGCCAGAAGCCAGAAGAAAAGAAAGAAGAAGAAGCCAAGAAGGAGGAGAAGGCCAAGCCAGAATCCGCCAAGGCCGAGACTCCGAAGCCAGAAGAGAAGCCCAAAGCCGAAGACAAGAGTAAGGTAGACGCGAAGGCGGCCGGAGAGAAGGACAAGGCCAAGGAAGAGAAAGGAGAGAAGGAGGCCAAGGAACGAGAGCAAAGGAGAGAAGGAGGAAGGACGAGAGCAAAGGAGAGAAGGACAAGGCCAAGGACGAGAGCAAAGGAGAGAAGGACAAGGCCAAGGACGAGAGCAAGGGAGAGAAGGAAGAGGAAAAGGAGGCGGGGAAGGGGACGCCAGCGGCCGCGGATGCGCTTGGGTCAGGTAATGCGAGGTCCGGAAAGGGAGGGGCAGGGGGGAGTGAGGACGGGGATAGTGATAAAAGTGTGGACAAGGAGAAACACGATGACGAGGAGAAGGAGAAGGATGAGAAGGAGGAGGGCGTGAAGGAAAAGGCCGAAGAGGAGGACAATGAAAAGGACGAGGGGAAGGAGAAGCAATCGGGGAAGGGAGAGAAGGGAGTGGAAGAAGTGGTCGAAGCGGTGGAGAAGGGGAGAGGCGTCGCGTTGGGAGGGGACGGAGAAGTGATCGAAAAGCTGATGAAGGAGGCGTCGCTGTCCGTCGACGAGGGCGAGGCGAAGGCCCGGGAAGTGGCGCAGGTCGAGCAGGACATCGTCGCGGCCAGGGCGACGACGAGCGAAAAGGGAGCGGGAGATAAGAAGGAGGAGAAGAAGGAGGTCGAAGAAGAGGAGGCTGAGGAGAAAGGAAAGGAGGACGAGAAGGAGGAAGAGAAGAGCAAGAAGGAGAGCGGGAGCGAGCCGGAAAGCGAATCGGAGAAGGAGAGTAAATCGAGTAAAGGAGACAAAGACAAATCGAAGAAGGAATCACCGACGCCCGAGAAGGACCAAGACGAAAGCAAGGCAAGTGATAAATCCGAGGAAGAAACGACGGAGGCGGACGTAGAGGAGGTGAAGGAAGAAGTAGCCGACAAGAAGGAAGAGGCAAAGGCGGAAGATAAGAAAGAAAAGAAGGACGAACTAAAAGCAGGAGAGGAAAAGGTCGATAAAGAGCCAAGCAAGAAGGATGAAAAAGAAGGAAAGGTCGAGGCTGCCAAACCCGAAGATAAAAAGGAAGAAAAGGTAGAGGATAAACCAGCGGAGAAAGAGAAAACGGAAGACAAACCAGAGGAGAAAGCAAAAGCAGAAGAAAAACCAGTGGAGAAACCCGCAGAGAAAGCAGAAATTAAAGATAAATCAGCAGAGAAGGAAGAAGTAAAAGAAAAAACACCAGAGAAGGAAGAGGCAAAGGAAAAAACGCCAGAAAAGGAAAAGGTAGAGGAAAAAACGCCAGAAAAAGAGGAAGCAAAGGAAAAAACACCAGAGAAAGAGGAAGTAAAGGAAAAAACACCAGAGAAGGAAGAGGCGAAGGAAAAAACACCAGAGAAAGAAGAAGTAAAAGAAAAAACACCAGAAAAGGAAGAAGCGAAGGAAAAAACGCCAGAGAAAGAGGAGGTGAAAGAAAAAATACCAGAGAAAGAGGAAGCAAAGGAAAAAACACCAGAGAAAGAAGAAACAAAGGAAAAGACGCCAGAGAAAGAGGAGGTAAAAGAAAAAATACCAGAGAAGGAAGAGGCGAAGGAAAAAACACCAGAGAAAGAAAAGGCTGAAGAAGTGAAAGCAGAAACCAAAAAAGAAGAAGAGAGAATAGAAGATTCTAAAGCGAAGGAAAAGGAGGAAAAGGAAGTGCCAAAGGAAGAGAAGATGGAAAAGGTAGAAATCACGATCACGAAAGAGGAGGAAGAAAAGGACAAGAAAACACCAGACGAAGAGAAAGAAGAAGAGGCAAAGGTGGAAGTGAAACCTCTACCAAAAGAATCCGACAAAGCCGAAGCCAAAGTCGAAGAAGTTCCCAGTGAAAAGGACAAACCCGAAGCCAAAGTCGAAGAAGCTCCTAGTGAAAAGGACAAACCCGAAGCCAAAGTCGAAGAAGCTCCCAGCGAAAAGGACAAACCCGAAGCTAAAGCCAAAGTCGAAGAAGCTCCTAGTGAAAAGGATAAACCTGAAGCCGAAGCCAAAGTTGAAGAAGCTCCCAGCGAAAAGGACAAACCCGAAGCCAAAGTCGAAGAGGCTCCCAGTGAAAAGGATAAACCTGAAGCCGAAGCCAAAGTCGAAGAAGCTCCCAGCGAAAAAGATAAAACCCGAAGCCCAAAGTCGAAGAGGCTCCTAGCGAAAAGGATAAACCCGAAGCCGAAGCCAAAGTCGAAGAAGCTCCTAGTGAAAAGGATAAACCCGAAGCCGAAGCCAAAGTCGAAGCCGAAAAGTCGAAGAGGCTCCTAGCGAAAAGGAAGAAGCCAAAGTCGAAGAGGCTCCCAGCGAAAAGGATAAACCCGAAGCCGAAGCCAAAGTCGAAGAAGCAGCGAAAGGATAAACCCGAAGCCGAAGCCAAAGTCGAAGAAGTTCCTAGCGACAAAGACAAAGCCGAAGCCAAAGTCGAAGAAGCTCCCAGCGAAAAGGACAAACCCGAAGCCGAAGCAGCACAAAAAGAAGCGAAAGAGGATGTGAAGGAGGAAGTAGATGTAAAAGAAGAAGTGAAAGAAGAAGCAGTAAGTAAACTTGATAAAGAGGAGACAAAAGACAAAGAGGAAGTGAAGAAGATCGAAGAAGACGTAAGACCGAGTGACGTAGAAGCTAAAGAAGAAAAGGAAGAGGAAGAAGAGGAAAAGGAAGAAGCAAAGGATGAGGAGGAAGAAAAGAAAGACGCAGATGAAAAGGAAGAAAAGAAAGACGTAGAAGAAGCAGAAAAGAAAGAGGAAGAGGTAGAGACCGAAGAAAAGAAAGAGGAGGAAGAAGCGGAAACCAAAGAAGACGAAGGAGAAGAGAAAGCAGACGAAGAGACGG